TTGATTCCTTTAGATAACATATTGATATTTCTCAGCTGTTCAGTCAGACGGCATCCATGTCGCAATTTTTCTTTTGTTTTTCAGAGATACGCATTTTCAGGAAATCAAAGTACTTTGGTTGCTTTGTGAGTTGATTTTCAGCAACTTCAACTTCGCATTGCAAGGTAAATATCTTATCATCTTTTTCTTTTATCACTCTTGTGTCAGTCTCAATGTCCTTTTGAAACTTAGCGATCGCAGGTCTTTGTCTGTTAGTTGTTGAAGCAGATCTTCCTTCTCTTTCTTGGCACTCATCATCGCTAATCACAAAGTTTTATTTTCCTCCAGTAGTATCTCATCTGATTGTTTCTTATTTTTTTCAGTATTCGTGTCTCCCTTTTAGTCAGCATTCTCATCAATTACTCCAGAAAGGTAATGAACTTCGGTAGCGGTTCGTCATCACTTTCATCTTTATCTGACAATGAGTCTCCTTTGTTGATTAGTGTCATTTTCCTTCTCCTGGTCAGACCAATAAATTCAGTTTTGATATGTCCATGCCCTCTGCAGGTCTGACATCTAAGAGTCTCCCTCTTCTTAGTTGTTGGGCACTCTGTCTTGAAGTGACCATACTCTTCGTATTCATGACATTGCATATCAGACTTCTTAGCTCCTCTTTCAGTCTGAGAATCAGCTTATGTCCTCTCCATATTATAGTTTGACATGCGTTGATCTTTCTCATACTTTTTGAAATACTTCTTGACTACAAACCTGACATGGTCATCAAACTCTTCTTCATGGGACTTAATTTTTCTGCTGAGAAAGCCACGCTCTTTTTTAACTGATGTTTATGTGAGTGTTGTAGCTCGTAGGCTTGCATCATACCAACTATTTCATTGAATTTTATTTCATCAGAGTTGCATGAAACTTCAATTTCTGATTTGTGGGTTTGAAACTTATCTGGTAAACTTTACAGGAACTTATTTACTAGTTTTGTATCCTTGTAGGGTTTTCACAAAACTTGAGCTTTATTTGCGATGATACTGAGCTCCCCACTGAATTCTTCCACTGATTCCCCTAAAACCATTATGAGAGTTTCAAACTGAGAGGCAAACAGATCCATTTGAGTTCTTTTGACACTAGTGGTTCCATCATATGTTGTCTGCAGTGCATCACAAGCCTCTGCTGTAGTACATCCTTGAACCTTCCTGAACTGATCTTTTGCGAGTGAGGTCCATATCACTGATAATGTCATGGAGTTGAATTTAGACATCAACTTTTCTTCTGCCGTCCAAGTCAATTAACTTCACCACATCATCTTCATTCATGATAGTCGGTTTTGACCATCCTTCTTCAACCATAGTCCACGCATCCTCATCATAGCCTTTGATTAGTGCTTTGATTTGGACCTTCCACCAACCATAGTTTTCTGCATCCATCACGAGCAACTTAACAGATCTAATATGTTGCATGTTTTCCATACTTTATCCCTCAATCACACGGGATTAATAAGAACAGACAAATTCTTAGCAGATGTCGGCTCTGATACCAATTGTAAGTGTAGGAAACAAGAACAACTTATAATATAACTTGGAAGGCGCCAAGTCTAACACTTATTTCATTAACTAGAATCTAACTTAATCTTTTCGATTACAATTGCCTTGGTGTTATACAATTATTATCCTAGATTGCCTCCAAACGATTCCTATTTCTAAACACTCTTCACAAGAACACATAACTCATGTATCAAGGATAGAGTACACTAACCTTCTCACTTCTTCTTTATGTATGAAGTTAAAGATGATCTCAATAATTGCAGTTCAAAGTGTCCCCCACATACTATGACCGGCTCCTTATTTATCCTAACTACCTAAATCCTAACCCTAGAATCTAGTGTTATGCTTGCGTATCTTCTTTTGTTGCAAGCTTCCTTTTCAGAAGATATCTCCAAATATTCGTCAAGCTTCATTCGAATCTATCTCCTCGTTTTGCCATGTCAGCTCGCCATGTCAGCTACAAGTTTTCACAGCTACATGCTTTCTGGTGAGCTCCTTGATATCGCTATTCAGCAGCTGCATCTTCAACTTTGTCCATAAGCGCTAATTATATCTGAGAAGGCATACATTTTATTTCCATACCAATCAGCTAAAGCAGTTTTAATCACCTTCTTTGTATTGTTAACTTTATCTAATTAATATCCTAATCTGAAGGTTTTAGTGAATCCTGAATAACACTCTTTTTAAAAAATGTCGACGAAATCTGAATCACAAACCAAACACTAGCCCGTTATTAGCATTGGTCACTCAAATCTTATATTGTATATAACTTAATAGGCTAAGAGATTAAACAAAAAATGAACATGACTCTCAAACAACAGCGATAAACCATAATCAGCTAATTTTAGAAGAGCCATTTTTCAAATATGTAAATTATCACAATTTAAATCCATAAACCGTTAAAGAAGTCACAAATGAGGACTCAATCTACAAAATCATTTGGAACTGCCCTATGTCAGTCATTAAGTTAGATTTTTTTTCCTTTGCAATCTTATCTGGTGAAATTGCGGAAGCTCCATTCAAATTGTGTTAATGTTTTGCTTAACGTGGGTTATTTATGAAAATATTATAATATATGTACGCTTAAGCTGTTTGTGCTCTGTTCAGATTATGCCAAAACGTGCAGTGCATCAGCAAATATTTCCTCTTTCAAATCTAAATGTGCCGAACACCGAAGGTACAACGAGCAGCAACAAAACAACATATTTTCTAACACATTTGCCTATATTAATAAATGCACTACTAAGACCATCTCCATCTATAAGAATTTCGTAGACCATCTCTATCTATAAGAATTTCTTAGGATATCTTAAATAAACAAAATATTATTATTTTAATATAATTAAATTTGAGTATAAAGAAAATATATAAATCAATCAAGAGAGAACAAGTGTATTTTGGGATTCTTAACTCACTAAAAACTCATTCTTAAAGTTCTTATTTAAGAATCCTTTCTAACTCTTTTTCGTTTTTAATTATTAAGATACCCTATTTAGAACCTCTTAAGAAATACTGATGGAGATGTTCTAACAATTATCTGCAAGTTAATTTTTATAATAGTATTTGTGAAGTAACTCTATATTTACGAAATATATATAAAGTCGATCTTACAAGTTACAAATTATAAAATAATTTTTACATTCTTTTATATAAGCTCTCTTTTTTTGTGTGGCAAACTAAGTATATCCTCCTTATAAATACTTATGCTTATTGCTTGATAAGATTTGATAACTATGCTGATACAACAAAATGGTACATATTCTTCTTCTTTTCCATAGTTATTTGATAAAGTTATATATGTGGTATTGGGTTCTTTGGTGGTGGAGAAAGTGAATGATTTGAAGGCCCAAGATCCGCGGTATTTGAGAAAGCCATTTGTTGTTAACTCATCCTAATTCCTAATAGTGTTTGTGGTACGACTCCTGCGTTTCTGTAAATTGTATAACTTTGATCAATGTAAGCAAACTGGTCATTTGCTGTTAACTCAATGAATTCATCTGATTAATTTGGTGTTTCTATATTCTCCGAGCATTGATCCATGCAGAAACAAGAATGCTTGAAGGAAACAAACAATTCATCCTAATTCCTAAAAGTGTCACTTACTTGAGCGTAAGATCTCTAAGGTGAAGAATATGCTTGTAGGAAGTAGAAACGGTTTTAAATAAGTCAATGTAATTTTCATGTCTATGAAATCTCAAATCAGATTGTTATGTTTTTTATGCAATAACAGCAAATTTAAACAAAACTCATAAAGGAGGATTAATGAATTAAAATCGAAAACGATAAAGCGTTAAAAAGGAAAAAAGCAACGAATTTGCACAAAATATAAAGTTTCTGGATAGGAAAGATATATTCTTTTGGTTAAGAAAAAGATAAGACGATAGGAAGAATAATATAAAGGCCAAAATTTATGTATTTTCTGTTTAAAATCCTCAATATCATAATTGTCATTGTCTTATTACATTATAAAAAATATGATGAAAGCCTTATTCTTTTTGTTCTCATTGTCTTCTACTTCATCTGTTTCAAAATAAATATCACTTTAACACTTTTCATATAAATTAAAAAAATAATTAAAAGTTTTATTTGTTTTTTGTTCACACACAAAATAATATTTTCTTTATAATTAATACAATAACAGTCAAACGTTAAAAATGGATATTTATTCAAAATAATGCATTAAAAATATAAAATGATATTTTTTATGAAATAAAAATAAAACTTTAGAATAACACTTATTTTGAAACGGATTGAAATGGAGGAAGTATACTGTATCTTCTTTTGATTTTCGGACATAGAAAAAACAAATTAATACACCATCATTCGGTTTAACCAACCATATTTTAACATAATTTTTCCAAATAGATATAACAATCTGAGACTGCTAAACCACGTGACCTGGACAACGCTGGTCGTATGGTTTATAGTTTTATACTGCTAAATTTCGAATAGTGTCTAGGTTGTCAAGCCATAATTTGGGATTATAAATTGGTACTCTTATTATGTCACTAATTAGGAAAATTAATCTTAGAACTGGTTTGTACAATACCAAGATTACTTATTATTTAGATGGCTAATTTTTTTTAATTTTTTTTTTGGAAACAGGCATTCAGATGACTAATTATATTATTCAGTCTAGAGTTGTAAATGGTGATAATGTTGCTGAAAAGTTCATAGTTTATCTTTCCACCTGAAATAATATTTTCTTTAAAAATAAGATACAAGCAGTTTCAGATATTATATAGCTTTTGGTAAGACGATAAATAAAAGCCAAGAACACATATTAGAAGTTGGTTTGTACCAACAAAAACCAGTTTTTACCCATGATCAGCTTTATATTGCTGTTTCAGGGATCATAGCAAGAGCAGGTTTAAAGATTTTAGTCATCAACATTGACAAGAAACCAATGTTCAAAAAAAAAAAATGACAAGAAACCACAACGAAAAACACTTAATGCTGTCTACAATAAATTATTCCAAAATATATTTTTTTTGTTTTGTTTTTTAATTCATGTGCCCATAACAACATAACAGCATGCAGAAGAAATAGTTACATTCAAAACTTGTGCTACCCTCAACGGTAACACACTACTCATTCTTCACGTTTTAGCTTATTAAATCCTCTAAAGTACCTAACTTCAACTTTCTCATTGTAACAAACAGACCCCACACGTTATCCTCTTCTATATTTATGATCAAAATGTGTCCACAATTTTGAGCAAGACAACATTATTTCAACTTCGACCAAGAGAAACCTATAGAACCATGCCTCGCTGGCCTCCATTTCCGCCGTTCGGACCACCAGGATGCGGACAGCCGCCACCAGGATGCGGACCGCCGCCACCAGGATGTGGACCACCCCCGGGAAGCTGGCCGCCAGGTCCACCACCATCCGGCTCCATGCCACCGGGCTGGCCACCTGGTCCACCACCTCCTGGCTCCATGCCACCGGGATGTCCACCTGGTTGGCCAGGTGGTCCACCACCACCTGGCTCCATGCCACCGGGCTGGCCATCGGGCTGCATGCCACCGGGCTGGCCACAGCCACCAGCCAATCCAGATCCTCCAAAACCTCCGACTAAACCTGACGTCGAACCTCCAACTAAACCTGATGTCAAACCTCCAACTAAACCTGACGGTTCTGATGAAGTGAAACCTCCGACAGGGTCGAATCCTAGTGGTGGCTATGACGAAGTGAAACCCCCGACTGGTCCTAGTCCCGGTGCAGATTATGATCCAGATCCGCCACTCTACTAAACAAAAAAGAGTCATTATGTGATCAACGGTAATAAAGTCAAAATCACAGAAATCGAAAATAATTAATGCTTGTTATTGCTCGGCCTTGTACCAATATGCAAACTTCTTTAGTCGAAAAAACACCTTTTGTATGAATATAAAAAATGTCATATGCTGCAAAATAACGGGTATATAACATGAAATGCGTCATAGCATGATAAGAGTGTGGAACACTCCTAATATATTCAGATTTCAGTGTATCTCATAACAAATGTCAAAAGTGACCAATACCTGAGTGATCTCATAACAAATGTTATCTACTTGCCTAAGACTTCATTAGCCAAAATCAAATTTCTTGCCTTGTGAAGAGGATGTATAGATAATGTGAGAGCTTCAGCTCCTGTAACAATGCTGTAATAAATAAATTGGGTTAGTAAATACAGGCCCGGTGAATCTACACTAGATGGATGATATGAGTATGATCCATTGAAAACGAAGCAAATTCACTTTGGACTAAGACACAAACCAGAATGGGAGCTAAGAACACTGATTAGCACAATTGTAGAGACTGAAACAAAAACATAAATTTCTACAAACAATGAACACAAATTGCAGTTAAAGTTCTTAGACAACAGAAACAAAATCTTTCCATTAGCACTGAGATGACATTTCTTATCCAGTTTCCAAATAAGGTTTGAGCCAAAAACTAGAATCATGTCTCCTGCAGCTTTTGTGGCTCTTCAAGCAACACTTGAGCTTCTCCATTTACATCAGACTCATCAAATGGTTCAGCCGTAGGAGGCTCATCACCACCGGTCTGCTCGTCTTCAGGATGAAAGTTGATAGGGAACTTGGTTACTCTAGGTTTGTCTGTGAGTATGTTCCTTTGGACCTTATCAATCAAAACCTTAGTAGGAGGCTCTTCCCTGAGTTGTTCATCTTCATAGTCATTGTTCACATAATAGCCAACTCTTATAAACTCTTGATCCATGTAAGAGCAAGTCAACAAAAGCACAGTTACACCAATGATATCTTCCTCACGGATCTTTGATGGATCTGGAGAGTCAGCCTGATTCAACAAAACACAATGAACAGAAGTTAGACAGAGATTTGACACTAAATCACAACAAATGGAGAAATGAGAGTAAAAACAAATCAAAGGCTACCTGTAACACAAATCGGTAGTTCCCAACATTAACAGGCCCAACGAGAACACTTTCCAAAAGTTGATCAGAGGTTTCATCTTCAGCTGAACCTACGTAGATAAGCTTCCATTCTAAATCTGTGTACCAGAAGCAAAGAAAGGCCATCTTAGACATCTCAAAGAGCATAAAAGTTGAACCATTTAATCTCAGCCAAACTTCTAGGTTTCAAGTTTTCATTGCAGAAGGATAAACAACAAAAAACATGTCTAGAATAATCATTCTCTGCCATTACCAAAAACCCATAACAGTGAAGAAGTAACGAGTGAAATCATTGTTGTACAGAGCCAGAGGTAGAAAGTAGAAACCCTTTAAGAGCCAACGTTTCCAGAATATGAGAATACAAAATCAAATCACACAATTCACAGGCTCAAAGTAAAACATCCATACAAGCTGCCCAGACTTTTCTAATCAAAGAATTTGACATAGAGCAGAGTCATTAATACCAAAACTACAATGTCAGAACAAGAACGTTTGCAGATATGGGTTCAACAATTAAGCCAAAGAGAACACTAAACCCAAGATAGAGCTCATTCATTTGCAATCGCACCGTAACACAATGAAGTTAATTAGCTATCAAAAGTTTCAAACCCAACCCCAAAAGCTGAAATTTTTAGAATCCAAATAGCTCAAAGGAACAATATGAAGGGGAAACACAATGTCCTTTGGGTTCTTCCTAGACAGAGTACCTCCTTATATCAGAATCAGAATCAATTAACATAGAACTAAAAACCCTCAATCAAAAGAAGAAATCACCAATAGACCACGAGGAACGCGATATACGGACTCTACAAACCGAATCGAACGATGTAAGGATTGGGCGAAAGTGAAAGGTACCGTCTTTGAGAGAGTTCAGGCACTCGTAAGAAATCTCGAACTGGAAAGGGTTAACAAACGGCGCTGGATTATCCAAGACAGTGACGTTAGTGATGTTGATGGAGCTCATGATTAATCGGTAAAACGGAATCGAACCAAGAACCCTAGATTCTAGGCACTTCTTCGAAATCTGGAGAGACCCAGATAACGAGTTTCGTTTAGATTACCGAAGAAGAGAGAAAAACTAGGGTTTTCGATTTTCCTGGAAGAGAAAAAATGAAGAAAGCTTTTCCGAAAATGAAATCGCCGGTGCTAGGTTGATATAGGAAGAGCTAGCTACTACGCCTTCTTCCCTCTCTTACTCATTTACGGTTTTGTCTTTTTTCGGTTCAGTTTGAGTACAGATAATAAAACCAGCCAGTTGGTTTATTAGGTTAAAGATGTGAAGATTTAATTAAAGTTTTAATCAAATGGTTTTATCGTTCGGGCCGAGAAAAACTTTAATCAAATGTTTTGGAGAAATTTGTTAATTAAATATTAAATTTTTAAATTTTAGCTATTTTAATTTTTGACTTTTCGTTTAACTAGATTAAAAAATAAACTTTTTTCATTTGGATTGAAAAAAACTTTAATCAAATGTTTTGGGGAAAATTGCTATTTAAATATTAAACTTTTAAATTTTAGTTATTTAAATTTTTGATTTTTTGTTTGGCTAGATTAAAGAATAAACTTTTTTGTTGATTTATATTTAAATCGTTAACTTTTGTTGACTAAATTAATTTAGACATGATGTTAAATTGTCAAACGGAGTGATTGAACTCCATTAAACCTTCTCTCTGATTCTCTGTTAAACCGCCACAATATCGTTTTTGATTACAACACAAAATCTTCAAATCGATTAAATTTTGAACTCAATTCACTAACCCTAACATCTAAAATTAAGTGATTTTCCTCTAAATCCCAGGAATCAACAATGGAACACTCGAAATCTCCAAATCGATCTCGAAATCACCATTTGCCCTCTTTGATTTCTCTGAATTGAAATGCTTCTGAAAGGGAAACAAAAGAAGGTTTCCAAGCGCAAAGCAAAAGAACCTGAAGTACAACCAGCTGAAGCAGAACCCAAAGCAGAGGTTGATGTTGGAGGCGGTGATAATGAAGGTTAACTTCAGCTTGCAATTGAAGAGGAGATGACTGCGTGGTTGTTGGGGATGAGGATTGCGATGACGTTACTCGACAGAGGTGATGAGAACAATACAAACGAGTTTAGATCAATTTTAGAAGAAGAAGGATGTCGTGATTTAGTTGAATACTTTGGAGATGTTGCAAGAGATGACAAACCTGTAACTAATGCACACAATGGAATGAAATTTGGGATGATGAGAAGATTTCCGATCCTTTGTCATCTGACTCTGAAGATGACAGGAATAAAGAAAGGAAAAGGAAAGAGAGAGAGAGAGAGAGAGATAGAGGGCCTGAAGTAATTCTAGCATTGGAAAAAACGTTCAATATTCTTGAAGATTTCAAGCTTGCGTTTCTAAGGTATGTTTTGAAAATTCTATACGATATCAAACTATACAAGTCACAGTAAATCCAAAAATTATAAAGAAGAAGATAGCTACTGAGATCATCAGAGAATACAATCTAGAAATAACTGATGAACGAAGTGGAAAGGCAAGACAAAACTGATGAAAAAAGAAGAAAACAAGTTATAAAGCCTATTTTTCACAAATATGAGATTATTATGCAAAGGTTTTTGAATCTAATCTACACACAAAATTTGAGATTTAGACAGTTTCAAAGCCAACTATTAAAGCAAGTACATATAGACCCATCATAAGAGTAGATTGTGCTTTTTCTGAAATGGGATATAAAGAGCCACATTTCAGCTGCAGTTTAAATTGCTATTTTCCCCAATGTTTTGGATATAATTTATGGTTTGGTCTGTATTGGTTTGAGTTTGACTGGTTCGATTTGGTCAGTTTTTTTTTCCCAGAAATGTTTGTCTTTCATGAAGACATTTTTCTATTTGCAGCGGTTCTGATCTGATCCTCTTCCTTATTGCTTTATTTTGTGCCAGATTTTGCAGCTAAGAATAAAATTACTACATATAATAATAGCGTGTTTTATGTAGTTGTGAATGAACCTCTTTTTTTAATGAGTGAATCTGCTGTGAATGAAGCATATGTACCTAATAGTTAACCTTCACAACCACATGCCTATAACATGACTGACATTCATATATGAATTCCGTTCACAAGTCATATTTGTTTTTGATCATTATGCATACTTAAATTACATATCTTTTACTTATGCGAGCAGATTTGAAATGTCTTGTTGAGTGCAACATGTTAAATTACATATTTTATACCTTACTGCTAGCACGTATTGGAATTTCTTATTGAGTGCAGCATTTCAAACCACATATCTTCTTCCTGTGACACATCACGCATTTGAATTGTTTTTACTTTTTGCTATTTTTTTTGTCAAGACAGAAATTCAAATAAAACGAGTGGCTTGGAAGAATTGTCTTAGATTTAGTCATATTTATTAATAATATTTACTTATTAAAATCCTTATTTACCATTTAATTTTGATTAGTAGTGGTTCAGTTTTTGCAATATCGCTGTTGGAAAGCAGAGATTACGCAGACTAACGCAGAAAAAAGAAGTATAGTAGATGAGAAGCATACCTAAGTTATTTTAGATGATTTAAAATTACAGATCACTTCCTCTATAAATGGGGGTTATTGTGTTTATGTAAAGAAATGGATTTTGATAACATTTCTTGTATAATTAGGGGTTATTGATTTATGTAAAAAAACAACATGGAGACGTTAGACAGGCGTCTGTCGGACTGATGACGAACATATATTCCTTCCCCAGGCGAGAAGCAGAGGTTGCGCAGACTCACTTGACATTTGACTACTATTATGATATCCTGTGATGATTTGGCCAGTTGAACAGATTCACGACATGCCGTAGCTTCTCTCTATCGGGTAAATGCCGCAAAAATGTTACATTTTTACCAAATAAACTCGGGCTGTGAGGACAAAAAGAAAAGAAGACGAGGACATCTTATGCTTGACGAGACGCACACGTTAGACAGGCGTCTGACGGACTGATGGCGAATATATATTCCTCCTGCATGTGAGAAGCAGAGGCTGCACAGACTCACTTCACCTTTGACTACTATTATGATATCTTGTGATGATCTGGCCAGTTGAACTCATTCAGGATGTGCCGTAGTTTCTCTCTCTGGTAAATGCCGTAAAAATGTTATATTGTCTCCAGATAAAATCGGGTTGTGGGGACAACAAGACGAGGGCATCCCATGTTTGACGAGAATAAAAAAAGACTGCGCTGTTTTTTTTTGTAGGATGTGATGTTGATAAACGCGCAGATGACGAGACGCAGATGTTAGACAGACGTCTCGCAGACGCAGGCGAGAGGTAGAGGCTTTGCAGACTCACTTCACATTTGACTACTATTATGATATCCTCTGACGATTTGGCCAAAGACATCAAACACAGCGTTATTCTAGTTTCTGCACGTGGGAAAAAAGTCGCAAAAATGTTATATAGTCATCACCAGAGAAACTTACAAAAAAAGACTGCGCCGTTTTTTGTAGACCTTGACATTGAGAAACGCACATATGACCAAACACAGACGTTAAACAGGCGTCTGGCGAACTGATGGCAAATATATATTCCTCCCGCAGGTGAAAAGCAGAGGCTGCAGAGACTCACTTCGCCTTTGACTACTATTATGATATCTTGTGACAATTTGGCCAGTTGAACTCATTCACGGTTTACCGTAGTTCTATTGATATCTCATGCATTTACATCATTTAGGCTTGCATTTAGTTCCTGTTTTGGTTCTCTTTTGCATGTTTTTCTTCTCTTTAGTCCCATTTTCTTCTTCTTTTAGACTTAGGTTGCATTTAGGTTGTAGTTGGCACTTTCCATGCATTAAAGATGTTTCTAGGTGCTTAAGAAGCTAAAAGAAGCAATGAGGAGTTGTGGGAATGAACCAAAAAGCTAGCCAAGCTAAGAGGGAGAAAGAGGAGCCAAGGAAGACATTTTCTGGGGGCATATCGGTCAAGCTATCGGTCAAGGAGTGACCAATGGGAATGCATCAGATGTATTCCGGTCACCCTATCGATCACCTTCAAGACCGATGGAGCTTATCGATCAATCTATCGGTCAAGGAGTGACCGATAGGAATGCAGCCTGAAGACCAGAAATTCTTTCCTCTTTTGTTCTAGTTATTGATTTTGTAATTTGAATCCTTGCTTAATTTTAATAAGATTTTGCACTTATCTTCTTGTTTAATCTCTCTAATCATGATTAGTCATCTTTCTCTCTTTGGATTGATGGTTCTAATGGTGCTTAGTGAGTAGTCATTTTAGGGAATTGAGATTGGTTAGGTTTAGGGAATTTGAGACTCTATCTATGATTGCTTAGTGTTAATTCTTCCATTTCCTTTCTTGATTGTTGTGTTTAATGCCTGGTTAGCTGTAGCTAAGTTGATTAGGATCTTAGGCTCATTTTATGCCCACCAAGTGTTTGATGAAATGTCTGAACTGCTTTGCAAGAGAATTGCTTATTCTAGCTCAAGAGATTGACTGTCTAGGGAGTGATTTGGAAATATAGGGTTGATAGAATTGTCTTAATGCTTGCTGTTTATCATTTCACTAGTGAGAATTAGTTCTTGACTTGGTAATTAACAAAGAGATTAGTGCAAAGAGATTGGATTAGTCATATAAATGAATCATATGCATAAGGAATAGCATTATGTGAGTTTGTAAGCATTATAGGTTGAGTTAAGAGTTCCCTAGCACCAATTATCTCATCTCAAGTCCCATCTTTTCTTTGTTTTTAGTTGAATTCGAATTTGCTTTGTTTTGCCTTTGTTTTAGTTGATTTTCTTGCTGTTCACTCTTTGTTTGGTGCTTGTTTCATTTCTGTAAGATCCTTAGGGTTGTTAGACATTCTAAACTATCTTTATCTGCTTGAATTAAGAGCTCTATTTCATTCCTGCTGTTTCAATCTTCCCCTTTTGGATTGATAAAACCCTTACTACAATGATTAGTACAAAGGGTAATTGACCAAGAGAGTCGAAACTCTTGTATCATCTATCTCTCGGGTAAATGCTGCAAAAATTTTATACTGTCACCAGATAAACTCAGGTTATGGGGACAAGAAGACGAGGGCATCCCATTTCTGACCAGAATCACAAATGACTGCACTGTTTTTTTTGTGGGACGTGATGTTGATAAACGCGTAGATGATGAGACGCAGACGTTTCACAGATGCAGGTGAGAAGCAGAGACTGCACAGCATCTTTCACTACTATTATGATATCCTGTAATAATTTAGCCAGTTCAACTTATCCATGACGTGCCGTAGTTTCCTTCTTTGGGCATCTCGCGAACGCATGCGAGAAGCAGAGGCTGCGCAGATTCACTACACCTTTGAC